TTAAAAAAAAGAAAGAAAGTTCTAAATATAGAGCTTGGTAGAGCACTTGCCTAGCATGTATGAGGCCCTGGGTTCCATCCCCAGCACCACAAAAAAGGGAAAAAAAARTTCTGATTATGGAAATCAGAGATGCTCCCAACCCACCCATATATGTTCTGGTGACACAGAAGGTTTGCTGCTCCCAGCAGAAGGGGTAGGTGCTCCCTGTGCATCAGCATCCTCAGGAATGATAGAAGCAGGAATGTGTGTGCCACCACCCAGTGACAGAAGCAGGCTCTGAGATGCACAGCACAGGACTCTGGGGTGTGTGCTTCCAGGAAGTCCTATTTTGCCCCCATAATCCTCACATATGGGAGTGAGCACAGACCGGCACAGCCTTCTCCAAGCCTGCCCACAGCCTTTTGTTTGGCCACTCTGGGCCAGCAATTCTGACAGTCTTCCCTTCCCTCTGCACAGACTGTGGTTTCCGAGCAGGCACTCCTGCTACAGGTCCTGCCACACTTCCCTGACATCTTACACATTCCAGAGTAACCTCTAAGCTAAGTGTCCAGCTTCGTTCTCAATAAGTTCTTACACTTAGGCAAGACAGTGGCTTTAGACCTAGAAAACAGCCATTCATGGGAAATCTTGGCTTTCAGGATGAGGCTAGAGGAAGGGTAAGCTGGGCAAGGGGCTCTGGGGTCCTACTCAAGTGCTGGAAACTGACAAGTGTCCAGTTTCRGTGATTGTGTAATCATGCTGAGGGAGAAGAGGGATGCCAGGTGGGTACCTGGGAGATGAAATKAATGCCCTGAGAAGCCAATGCTCTCCTACTTGGACCCAACCTGCACCACCCTCCTCTCCCTGGGGCTAAGAATCACAGCCCCAAGCACCTTCCCAAGAGCTTCAACTGTTGGTTGCTGGGGCTACCTCTCCTTGGAGAAGTATTTTAGTGCCTCCTAAGAACCTGTCTGATCATCTGTTCAAGGCTCCTATGACAGACTTCCCAGTATGCATGGGTGAGAGCTCACCCCAAACCTGCTCCACACCATGTTCTCTTATACCCTAGGGACGTACTGAGGACAACAGCTCTTACTAGGCCATGGGGCCCCCTACCACAGTGCCTTCCCACAGAAAGCCCTATGTATCTGCCACCACCATGATTTGTTTTATTACTGTTGTTATCACCCCAGCAGGCATCAATGTCCTGGCAACTGTGATAAGGCTGCAGACAATATGCCACAGAGCCACTGTTCCAGCAGTCTGGAAGACTCCCTTGGGAAGTCACCCACAAAGAACAAAGGCTTGTGTGATGAGTGAAACAGACCACAGGAAAGGAAGAGCTGGAGGAAAAACGCAAACCCAAAGCCAACTGGAAAGACCAACCACACATAAACTTCTGGCAAGACAAGGAGAGAGAGAGGACAGACCTCATCACTGGTAAGGAGGGAGGATGCCACTACAGGCCCTGCAGGTGTCAAAGGACACAGGAGTGCCACCAATAACTCTAGGCACATAAGTTCAACAACTAGACCAACTGGCCCAAACTGTCAAGAACAAATGACCAAAACCAGACCAAGGTGAAACGATCTAAAACCTAACAATAAACTCCACTGCCAAAGAAACTGAATTTCCCATCTGATTCAAATGTATGATATGTCAAGATCATTGTACTGGGCTGGGGTCGTGGTTCAGGGGTAGAGTGCTCATCTAGCACTTGTGAGGTCCTGGGTTCAAACCTCAGCACCACATAAAAATAAATAAAAAAATTAAAGTATTGTGTCCATGTACAACTAAAAAAAAATTTAAAAAAGATCACTGTACTGTCATGTGTAACTAATTAAAACAAATTTTAAAAAAGTAAAAAAAAGGGGCTGTGGCTGTGGCTCAGTGGTAGAGCATCCGCCTCGCACGTTTGAGGTACTGGGTTCGATCCTCAGCACCACATAAAAATAAATAAAGATATTTTAAAAAAAAGTAAAAAAAAAAATAAGCTGAATTTATAACTGTGAACTTCTGAAGATGAGACCTCCAGGCCCAGATGGCTACACTGATGGATTCTACCAAACTCTTAAGAAAAAAATGAAAATCAGATCTATACAATCTCTTTCAGAAAATAAAAGAGGAGGGATCATTCCCATTCATTCCGTGAGGTACAGCACGTTGACACAGAAAGTAGATAAGAACATTAAAGAAAGCACAGACCAATAACCTGCATGAACATAGACAAAAGTCCTCAACAAAATATTAGCAAACTTAACCCAGAAACACATTTAAAGAATAATATCCCRTAACAAGTGAACTTACCCCAGGAACTCAAGTCAGGTTCAATATTCAAAAGTCAAGAGCTGAGAGTCTAGCTCAGTGACAGAACACTAACTTAAARCATCCACAAGGCCCTGGGTTCCAGTCTCAGCACAGCAAAAATAAATAAATAAATCACAGGCCTGAACATGGTGGCACATGTCTATAATCCCAGAGGCCTGGGAGGCCTCTGGAGGCTGGAGGAGGAGGTCAAGTTCAAAGTCAGCCTCATGGGCTGGGGATGTGGCTCAAGCGGTAGCACGCTCGCCTGGCATGCATGCGGCCCGGGTTCGATCCTCAGCACCACATACAAATAAAGATGTTGTGTCCACCCGAAAACTAAAAAATAAATATTAAAAAAAAAAAAAAAAAAAACAAAGAGCCTCACCAACTTAGCGAGGCCCTAAGTCACTTAGTGAGATCCTGTCTCAATAAAAAATAAAGGGGGAGGACAGCTGGGGATATGACTCAGTGGGTAAGTGACCCTGGGTTCAATTCCTACTACCAAAATTAATAAATAAATAAAATTTAAAATTTTTTTTAAAAGTCACAATGACAGACTAAAGAAAAACATTCGACAGTATCAGCTGATGCAGAAAAAGCATCTGGCAAAATTCAGCATCTACTCATTAAAAAAAAAAACAGCAAACTAGGAGTAGAAAGGGAATTTTTTTTTTTTTAGAGAGAGAGAGAGAGAGAAAATTTTTTAATATTTATTTTTTAGTTCTCGGCGGACACAACATCTTTGTTGGTATGTGGTGCTGAGGATCAAACCCGGGCCGCCCGCATGCCAGGCAAGCGCACTACCGCTTGAGCCACATCCCCAGCCCCTAGAAAGGGAATTTCAACTTTACTGATGAAGTACAAGTATCTAAAAACCTATACCTAGCCAGGTACAGTGAAGCACACTGTAATCCCAGTGGCTCCAGAGGCTGAGGCAGGAGGATCATGAGTTTAAAGCCAGCCTCAGCAAAAAGCAAGGTGCAAAGAAACTCAGTGAAACCCTGAATCTAAATACAATTACAAAAAAAGGGCTGGGGATGTGGCCCAGTGGTCAAGTGCCCCTGAGTTCAATCGCCAGTACAAAAAACAAACAAACAAACAAACAAAAAAACCCTACAGCTAGCATCCCACTGAACAGAAAGAACTGAATAACTGAATGCTTCCCTCTAAGATCAAAACAAGGCAAAAATTTCTCTTGTAGGGCAAAACAAGAGAAACAAAAGGAAGAAACATAAGTCTATATTTATAGACAACATAATTACTTATCAGAAAATCGCAGTGCATAAGAAATCCAGAACAAGTATGCTTAGCAAGGTTACGAATAGGCCAACACACAGAAATCAATTATGTTACTGTATTGGCCTGGGGGTGTCACTCAGTGGTAGAGCTCTTTCCTAGAATGCAAGAGGCCCTGGATTGGATCCCCAGGAGAAGGAGGAGGAGGAAAGAGGGAAAGAAAGAAAAAAAAGGTAAATCGACCACCTTTCTAAACACTATCTTAACTGTATTTCACACTACTATCAATGAATTAATGTAAACTAAAAGAAATTCCATTCACAACAGCTCCAAATAGATTTTAGGAATATCTGTAATAAATATAGAGAAGCTATGAAATAARGAAACTCTGATGGAAGATTCCAAAAAGAACCTAAAYGAAGGGAGAGACATGTTGTGTTCGTGGACTGGAAGACTCAACACATTAAAAATGTCAAATCCTCCTACATGTATCGACAAATTTTTATGCAATTCCATTAAAAACTCAAGCAGGAATTTCGTACATATATACAAACCTAGTGTAAAAACCAAGGAAAGCGGAAAAGGACTACAAAAGGAACAATTTTGAAAAAGAAGAACAAAGTTAGAGGACACACAACAATTGATTTCAAGACCATGTAAAACGTACAACAGACGAGGCTAATGCCCTGAGCTCAATCCCCAGCACCCGAGTTTAATCCTCAATACTGCAAAAAAATAAAAACTAATAAACAAACATACGACAAACGAAACATTGTGGTGGCGACAATGGAAATGGCACAGACAGAACCCAGAAAAAGACCCACCAGAAAGGGACCCAGTGATCCGTGCCAAAGGAGCTAGGGCGGCGGGCGCAGGCCGAGCGGGCGGTCGGGCGGCGCCGGGGACGCCTCCCGCAGAGCTCCCCGCCCAGAGCCACGCCCCCGCCGGCCCGGCCGCCCGGGACCCCAGTCGGCGGAGGGACTTGACTCCAGCCCCAGCCAGCTCTCCGGCGCCGGAAAAATAAGAACAAAATAAAAGCAAATGCAAAACATGTAAAAGAAAAAAAAACTTTTGAAGATAAACGCGGCACCTTAGGGTCAGACAAAAACATTTTAGACGTGACACCAAGACTGATCTAGCGACAAAATACCAACTGCTGGGCATCAAAACCCGAACTCCGGCCAGGACCGACTTCTGCCGAGAGAGCGACTCACACGCGCGAGTCCCGACCCGGGGAGGGAATGCCCGCCCCCGCAGCGACCCACCGTCGAGCGACACGAACTGGCCCACGGCCGACGAGCCGCCGCCGCTGTTCTCCACGAACTGCACCTCGGACACGATGATGTTGTCCTCCAGCACCGAGCCGCAGCCCGTGCACACCGCGTCGCCGCGCGCCGCGTCCAGCTCGATGTCCGTGCCGCCGCAGCCGCGGCACACGCGGCCCGTCATGGTGCGGCCGCGGGGCCCGGCCCAACCCGGCCCGGCCCGCTCGCCCGCCCGCGCCGCCCGGCCCTCAGCCCGCGGCCCTCAGCCCGCCAGGCCTGCCGCCCGCGTCCGTGCGCGCCGCACTCTCGCGAGGCCGCCGGCGCCGGGCCCTCCGATTCGCGGCGGCAGATTCGCCACGAGCGCCGGGCTGCGGTGCCCGCAACGGCCGCGCCCGCGGGATCAAGACAGGCACCAGAGCCGCTGCGCGAACAAGGACTCGAACCGACGACCTCCGGGCGGGACGCGGCCACCGGACCTCTACACAGCAGGCTAGCAGGCCTCCGGAGCAGCGCGCTGCGCGCGGGGCGGGGCGCG